CTCGCAGGCTGGATGGTGCCCGGCGCTGAGTGTGGGGCCCGGCTGGGGGTGCCCCTCACTCCCGACCCGCAGCCCCTGCCCCCATCCCCTGGGGCCCAGCGCGGGCAGAGGGGGTCACCCCCAGGCCCTGGCGAGGGGAGCTCAGGACACATCCAGGCATCCGGGGGCTTGTGCTGAGCTCTGGGCCGGGTCCAGTCTCACCCCCGCCTGGCATGTGACCCCAGCGGGTCATGAGGTCGCCGGAGCTGGGCACGTGGGAAGCACACGCAGGAGCACGCACACATGTGCACCAGCCCCGGATGCACAGATACCTCCCCCCGCGCACACGAGTACCCCCCTGCAGTGGTCCAGCATGGTCCCCTCTGAAACCTGCCTTCTGGCTACCGGTCCCCCCAGCCCAGTGCATGCTGGGATGTCTCCTCCACCAGGCCCCGCCTACTCCACCTACCCATTGCAGGGGAGACTGAGGCACGGAGAGAGCTGGCAGACAGGCTGCAAAGCTGGGGCAGGGAACCCAGGAGTCCAGGCCTCCAGTCCAGCTCTAGGCCCCCAGTGAACCATGGCCACAAGCACTGGGAGCTGCTGACTTGCTGGTGTGGTTCCCTGCGGGGGGGGGGGGCGGGGAGGGCCAGGACTCCTGGGTTCCCTCCCCTTGGGCCTCAGTTTCCCCTAAGCCTCCACCCAGGAGCAGCTGGAGACACGTAAATGGATCCTAATGTAGGCAAATGCCATGCAGCTGGGGGCTCCCTGACCGAGCCCCTGGCCAGGCAGGGAAGGGGTTAATGTAGCATGACCTCCATCCCCTTTTGGGAGGCCAGAGGGGAACTGGGGCAGCTGGACCAGGACGTGGTGGGGGCAGGGGTATCCTGGTGTGCAAGAGGCGTGTGAATAGCGTGTCACAAATAGCATGTCCCTAGCAGGAAAGGGGCAGGGCAGGATGCAGGGGTGGAAGCGGGGACCAGGCAGTGCCCCTCACTCCCGACCTGCAGCCCCCTCTGGCTGGGTAATGGGGGAGCTGCCCCCCCCAG